GGGTGCTTTGTGCTGGCCTGGCAGCCCAGCACCATTTGCAAGGTAGGACTTTTACACTCCTGTTATCCCAGCCACCGCCGTCTCAGCTGATGCCTTCTTCACTCAAAAACCAGAGCTGCCTCTGCCTGATGCCCGTCATGCCACGTGCCATGGTGCAAGCCGCTGGTCCCATTTCACCCCCAGAAGTGCTGATCCGAGCTCCCAGCAGCAGGAGCAGTAACGACAGCCCCGGGTAAGCCTCCCCAGAGCTTCACCCCTCCTACCAGCCCAGGATCAAACTTCAGGATCTGGAAGGGATGTTTTGGGAGAACCTGTCGTGAACTTAGGCCTTTGGTATTCTTGTGGGGAGCTGGCAAGGGGAGCATCAGAGCTGGGCCACCCCTTTCAAGCTTTGCCATGGTGTAAGATGAAGGCTGGGATAAAGAGAGAAGGCGGAGAGCTCCCTTCTCCCATCCCTGTGGAGCAGGACTGCAGGGAATACAGAACTGGCACGAAGGAGAGACACTGCCTGAGCACCAAGGGATGAGCCCATGGACCCTGTTGCTGCTTGACATCTTTGAGGACAGAATTTAGCGAGACACAGGAGCCTGGACACCTCTGTGCATGTTAACCTTATCTAGAGTTGCCACTAACTACAGAGATTGGGAAGCAATATTCAAACTTTCTGCTTCAGGACTTCATTAAATCTTCAGCGATAGGAATCAGGAGGAAAGGAGCATGGGCAGAGTAATCCCATCGCTGGTCAAGAGATTCTCGGGCCTTCCTCAGGGGCTGCCATTGCTGCCCAGTGTCAAAGACAGGCGACCTGGCAGGAAAACCCATCCAGCACCCAGCCCCCGTACCCTGGAGGTGCTCTGGGTGTTAGCACAAGACTGCAAGCAGCAGGGTAGAACGTGGTCTGCAGTGGGCTTGTGATAGAATCTGTTGGAAAGGAGATGCATACAGATTGCTAGCTTTAGCTGCTGATAAAATAAGTACTTTGTGGAGCAAGGAACAGAAGAGTAACACATTGATTTTGGTAATTAATGGTTCAATAGAAACCTGTTCTGGGAGTGCCCTGGGCAAAGCCACCGCACTGGAAGCGCCTTTATTCCCTGGTCTCAGTTCTTTGCCTCACTCCTCCGCCTGTTCTCCGAGGCCGATCGCTGTCTGGCTGCCGTTCCTCCTCTTCTTCTGGAAGCTCTTTGGAGCAGGGATCATGGCTCAGTCTGTGTGCGGTGCTCATCCCGACAGGGCTGGAAACCGCCCCCAGCCACTGCCAAAGTGGTTCCCAGTGCCAGATGCTGCGCCGAGGGCTGGAGCCCGGACCCTGGGGAGATGGAAGTAGCACCACACTTGAGTCACGCTGGCAACTGGAGAAGCAGCTTGCAACACGCAGGCAACTGCGATGGCTAAACCTCAGCCAGCACGGCCAGGCAAGGCGCTGCCTCCCGGCGGCTGGGTGGGTGACAAGTGATGCTGCAGCAGGAGGGACATGGCAATGCTGCCAACTTGGGGCTAGATCGGCCGTGGAGGGGAGAACCGCAGCCAGCGATACCACTGTGCCGCTCGTCCCTCTCCAGGCACGGGAGCGCAGCAGGGGGTGGTGGCGGCGGGGAGAGATTGGGCCCCTGCAGCTGAGTGGGTTCAGAGCAAAATGCCTGATCCAAAAGGAGATCCCGGTAGCAGGGAAATGGAGCCACTGTTCAGAGGACCTCGCTGGCCTGCTTTTCGGTGCTGCTCCTCTAAGCTTTTACGAGATAGTTTGGCTTGCTGTGCCAGCTGCTGGTGTGGGCTCAGCACTGGTCCCACCAGCAAGCTGCACCGGTGAGCTGGGCCTGCGGTGCCTGGTGCTGCTCCGGGGAAGGGACACCCTCTGATCCTGGCCCTTGTCCCTGCTGGAGACAATCGCTCCCCCTCCTCCACCGCCAGCAATGAGCACCCGGGCTGCAAGAGCCCAGTTCAGCCCCCCAGCTCTCCTCCTTCCTTCACTGCTCTGTCACATCAAGACCAAGACATAATTTCCATGGAGAAATTACAGCATTTCAGTTCCAAGTTTGTGAAACAATATTTTTTAAAAAAAAAAATCAAATAGGAAATTTTACACAGCCACGCTTGTACTCTGTGGCTATCGCAGAAGGGACTGGGGCAGCGCAAGCTCGCAGTGCCTGCCAAGGCCGGGGAGCAGGGCACTGCAGCAGGGAGGGTTCTGCAGCGGGTCGCATCCTGAAGTTGAGGGTTATCTTTGGCCGGTCGCTCTCAATGATATTGCTGCTGTGTGGACGCCATTTCCATAGGAATACAAGCTCCAGGCATTTGGCGGGATGCCCTTGCAGGATTGGTCACCAGCCACTGCTCTCTGCAGCCTGTGGTGCCTGCGCCCAGCTGGCCGCTGCCCCCAGCCGGGGTGGCAAGCTGGAGCATGGGTGCTGTACGGCGCTGGGGAGAGGAGGGGAAGTCCTGCTCCGGCCGTCAGCCATGCTCTCCTATCCGCTGTATGCTTTCGGAGAGCAGCAGGGAGCACTTCTGCTCCTGTTCTCCTCAGGGCAAGGGCTGCCTGCCCACGGGCTCAATCTCCCAGCCTCACCTTCTGCCCGCTTCCCTCGCACCACTCCCTGACGCAGCCTCAGGCTCAGCTGAAGGGCACCCCATTTATACAGCAGTGGGCACATGAGGACTCAGTCCCTGATCATGCCGGGGGCCTGGCTGTGATGTGGATAGCCATAAAAGATGCTTCCTTCCTGCAGGGCTGTTAAATCTGGCTGCTGGATCCCCCCAGGAAAGCCGGTCTGTAACTCTGCAGCATCTGCAGTCCCCAAGTGCTTGCATTCCTCTGAATTTGTTCAGACTTTTCTTAAGATAAAAAATACCTCAAGATGCATCATTTTGACTCATCCTTGCTCCTTGCACATCACTGCTACTCGGACGGCTGATGCGTGGTGAGGTCTGGGCAGGGGACAGGACTGCAGACACCCTGCCACATCGGGAGGGCAGCTCCGGTGGGACATGACACCGGAGGGCTGAGCTCCCCGGCAGGGCACGGCCACTGGTGTGCTGGCCCTGCAATGGGTGAGCTGGGGTCCTACAGCCCCACTCCTCTACAAATCCCCGTTGCCAGGGCTCACCTGGAGATTTTTCAACAGGAACGATGCTGGCTGCAGGAGAGAGGGAGCCACAGGACCCCGCTGGCCTCTTCACCCAGTGACGTTGAAGACATGGGCAGCACCAAGTCTGCCTTCACTCTTGCCTTGACAGGAGACCGGGCACCAACCCCGGCAGTGCCGCGGCAAAACAAGCCCCATCGGATGGATTGCACCAGCACTAAACACACAAATTACAGGGAGGTTTAAAGCAAGCCGATGCATTTAGCAGTCACAAATATGAGGCAACACTGACAGGCAGATCTAGCTGGGTCTTGCCTGACAGCCACTTCTGCTTGCAGGCTTCAGCTGCCTAATTCCTGAAATGGCTCTTTCCCGGGGCTCGGTGGTTTGACGTCAGCATCGCTGCGGCCGCCAGTGCCCAAGGTGCTCTTACAGAACCATTTCCAGCCTATTCACATTGTTTCCTCACCATATGTTTGTACTAAAAATAGTTGCAATGTGAAGGGATAATCCTGCAGGACCCTGAGCACCCCCATCCTCCGCGTCTGCTGCAGGAGACCTGGCCAGTGCCACAAGTGCTTCCCCGGGGCAGTGACACTGCTCCTCCTCCTGCCCCTCAGGCAGCAGCACCATCCTTCACCGCACCTTCGGGGCAAATTAGCCAACAACAGGTTAAACAAAGTGCGCTTTGCGTAGGTGCACCTGGGCAGGAGGGTTTGAGAGGCTTAAGATAAAAAATATTGTTAAAACACACATCAACACTGTGCCTGTAAAACCTTTGAAGCGCACTGTGGGCGTGCAAAGCCTTGCACAGGAGCAGAGGTGGCTCTGCATCGCCCAGCGTGTCCTCGCCTCGCCTGGGCCGTGCAGAGGCGCTAGGGAGGGCGGCGGGGCTGGGGGTACTCCCTCCGCGCCGCATGGGTCACAGCTGGCGAGGCGGGACGGGGCGTTCCAGGGCTTCGGAGATCCAGGCAGTTTCCCACCTGGGTACCCCTGCTGCAGAGGAGACACGGGTGCTGGCGGCAGGGCTGGGGCTGCCCACAGCCGCGGTGCAGGCAGGAGCGGGAGCTGGGGCGTGCTCAGGGCTCTGCATCCCCAGCACCCGGTGGCCGAGGCGGTGCGGAAGAGGCTGCAGTGCTCTTGCAGGGGACAACGTTTCCCACCTTCTGGCTCACTATGATAATCTGTAACTGGGGGCAGCTGGGACAAGCATTTACCTCTTCATTTTCTTAGATATAAATGCTATCTCGTTGCAGTTTCATTTTACAATATGGTAATATGCTATCCAGGAAAGTCTTGCTACATGCTAATTTATCCAGTAGGCAAATTCCTTTTGGCTAATAAAAGTGCTTGCACAGGAAGCTCAAAACCCAGCAGCAATTAATTATTGACAGAGCATGTGAATTAGAGATAAAAGAAAAGTCATTCTTTCTCACACACAAGATAGTAAATAAATTTAATTATTGTACTAGAAGCAAGGGATCTTATTCTGTATTAAGTTTTATTAGCTGAGACATTTAAAAGCATGTCATCATAACAAAAAGGTCCTGTGTAATCCTAACTGCACCACTCTGGTACAAGGCTCTGAAGTGAATGGGCTTAATTGAGCAAATGGAAGCAGATGGCTTGCTGAACAGACAGGTATTGTACAGGTTTATTGTCAATTAACTTTTGTCTATGTATGCCGATGGCAAACTGACTGTATAATGCATTACTAGGGCTGATTTCAGACATCGAGGTGTCCACCATCTCCAGGGTCCGAGAAGGAACAAAGCCAGGAGTGCTTCGGGCCCTGGGGCCCGCAGGTGTGGCAGCCTGCCTCCTTCTGAACGTCCATCTGCATGGGGCAGGAGGGACGCCCAGGCGCCTGGCTGTGCCTGGCCCCTTGCTAACCACTCCTCCTCTGCTTCTGCGCAGGAACGTGATGCCCAAGACGCTGGATGGCCAGATCACCATGGAGAAGACCCCCAGCTACTTTGTGACCAACGAGGCCCCCAGGCGCATTCACTGCATGGCCAAGGACACAAAGCTGATCGTGGTGGTGAGGAACCCGGTCACCCGGGCCATCTCGGACTACACACAGACGCTCTCCAAGAAGCCAGAGATCCCCACCTTTGAGGTGCTGGCCTTCAAGAACCGGACCCTGGGGCTGATCGATGCCTCCTGGAGCGCGATCCGCATTGGGATCTACGCCCTGCACTTGGAGAACTGGCTCCAGTACTTCCCCCTCTCCCAAATCCTTTTTGTCAGTGGCGAGAGGCTCATCACTGACCCAGCCGGGGAGATGGACAAGGTCCAGGACTTCTTAGGCCTCAAGAGGATTGTGACAGAGAAACATTTTTATTTTAATAAAACCAAGGGGTTCCCCTGTCTAAAGAAGCCAGAGGACAGTAGTGCTCCCCGGTGCTTGGGCAAGTCCAAGGGTCGAACTCACCCCAAAATAGACCCAGACGTCATCCACAGACTGCGGAAGTTTTACAAACCCTTCAATGTCATGTTTTACCAAATGACGGGCCAGGATTTCCAGTGGGAGCAGGAAGAAAGTGATAAGTAGGACTATGAAATCAGGAAAAAAGCTTTTTCCTTTTGAGATGCGAATCCTCATTAGAGACCCAAAACTCACTGGGGGCTGGAGGCTCAGCCTTGTGAGCGCGAGACCCTTGCGCTGTCAGGGTTGCAGCCAAAGCCACCCTGCGTTTCCCACTCTCCATCCTTAGTGACACATCACCTCCGGTGGCACTGGGGTCTCCCCCCGTGACACTGAGGGATCAGGGGTGGGTGGGAGGCGGAGGAGGAGGAGGTGGAGGGAGCGGGGCTCCTCGGGGCGATGGGGTGCTTTGTGTCAACACTTTGCTGCGGATGTCCACCTGGCAGCCAGGCAGGCAGGACCAGCACCTCCTGCCATGGCTAGCTGAGCGGGATGGTGGCTCACAAAACCCAGCAGCACTGGGACAAACCCGTAGATTTGATTTCTCCTGTCCTGGCTTTTAGTTTTGCCCAAACAGCAGCATCAGATCTGGTAGATTCAGGACACGTGTGTTCACATGCACACCGGTGTTTGTGTGTGGGAGGAATAAAGCCAGTTATGCTGCAAAGGAACTATGTACAGAAGCTTCATTTGCACCAGATGTTTGAATTACTTGTTGCACTAATGCTTGTATTTACCAAGTGCCACAAAACACCTGGGCCCGATTCTCCTCCGATGGCTGGGTATAAGGCCACTGTTGGAAGAGAGTCGTTGCTGCTTCGCTGGGATGCTCGCTGAGATCAGATCTGCTCCTCCTGGAAGCTGTATTGAGGACCGTTCCCGGGCACCCACTCGGAGCAAGCCGGGCTCTCGCCGCTCGGCCAGGCTGCCAAGGCGCGGTGCAGAGCCGTGTGTGCCCATGCAGCGCCTCCCAGCAAGGCCACGCCGTGCCCTGCTCCACGGTTTGGAGCGGGGCGTTCCTGGTGGGAAGCGAGGGGGTGACCGCAGGGCAGAGGCTGTGGGGAGGCCCCCAGCCTAGGGTCTGGCTGGGCTGACCCCCAGGACCCCTGGCATTGCCCTTCATTTGCACCGTGAAAATGAGATCTCTGCTGCCTGCTGCTGACAGCTGGGTTTGCAAAATGGGGAAGCAGCCTTCCATCTTTACTGCAGAATTACAAAAAAGCAATTAATTCCCGGGGTGAGCACTGCTCTGCGCAGACAAATGTGCACCTGCTAGTGGAAATGGCCAAGTCAACCAAATTTGCAAATCCTGATAGAAACTGTAGAATGAACCCATACCCCAACTGGACCCTGCAGCAGAGTGACGAGAGCTGCATGCTGGAACCAGCGGGCAGCGGGACAGCAGCACTTTGACACAGCTCCACCGTTTCTGTCTCCATCACTGAGAGAAAAACAGTAGGAGAGGGAGCAAAAGGGAAAATGCAGAGCCACCATCACTGAAATGTTCCCTTTGCATGGGTGATTGCTAAGGGCATTCAAATATTGCTGGCCACTTCGCTTTAGCGAGTGGTAAGGATGCCTCCCAGTGTGTGAGTCCCCCATCCCTGCTCGGGTGCCGGCTCCCCTGCTGTTGGAACGCAGCAGAGATGCAGCGCAGAAGCACTGTGGGAGGACCGGGACTCAGTTTTGATTAAGGTGGCAAGAAGGCGCTACTGAGCCAGCTAAGCAGATGACAACGCTGTTACATTGGGTAACAAGCTGAACCTGCCTTGGGTTTCGTGACCTGTCCTGTGGTTCGTTACACCCTGAAGTGGTGCTGGTGCCTTGGATTGGATGAAGAAAGAGCTGAAGCCATTTGGAAAATTTACACTGTGGGCTGTACACGCTGGAGGGGGCACCGCGAGGTCCCCGCTAACATCACGTCAGTTCGTATTAGCCTGATCAGATTTAAAAACAACTCCTGACATGACACAGTTTTTCACAGACCCACAAATCCCAAAATTATTACATGAAAATTGGAAGTATGTAATAGGAATAATTTTGCAGTGTTTCCCACGTTATTAAAATGTCAGATCAGCTACTACGTGAAAACGGTTGTTACACAATGTGGTGCGAGCTGCTCGATGGATTCAGCTGGAGGACGAGGGGTTCACCAAGGCCCAGTGTCCAGGCTCCTCACCGAAGGGATATCCAGGATTTTCTCCCTGTTCCCAGCGCCACGGCGGGCTGGCCCTGAAGGTGCCAAGCAGAGCCTGCCAGTGGAGATGGCGGGACTGGCCCCCTTGCTCCTGCTAGAGGGGCTTGGCTGCAGGGGGACACAGTCCCAGCTCATGGCATCACCAGGACCTGGTGGCTGTGTGTGACTGCGGTTGTGTCAACGTGTCACTATGTATTGCCTCCATGGCCAAAGCTTGGACTCCCTCAGTCCCCACCCACAGCTCAACCAGGAGTAGTTTTTCCCTGAGCAAGGTCTCCTTGACCTTGAAAGAGCCCCTGAGAACACCCATCCCCTCCCAGCAGGTCTGCCTGCACACCTCAGCCTTGATCTGGTCTGGTCCGAGCGCTGCCCCGGGTCTCCCTGGGCAGCTTGGTCCGGCTTCTCCTGGAAAGAGAGGTCCCCCACTGCCATCAAGCCACCATCACTCTTCTCATCGTGCCCACTGCTAGAGGGACAGGAGAGCTGAAGATGCATCTTTGAGGACCTACAACCCAACAAAGCACCCTATTAGGGGAGTCCCAGCATGCGGCTGGGCCAGGCAGAAGCATCTGCCCTGCACTGGGACAAAGCAGAGCTGCACCTGGGGCTTGGTCCTGCAGCTAGAACAAGGCCCTGGAGCAGGACACCCCCAGGGCACCCGCAGGCCTCCCCCAGGGCACCTGCAGAGTTCCCAGAGGGTCTGGCCCCCCAGACTCCCCAGGAGGGGCCACCCCATGGTTTACAGAAGCAGGGCCGGCCGCAGGAGGTGCTGGGCCTGCCCCTCCCCTGGGTCCCATTCTTTCTGCCATATATTCAGAGGTTTATTTTTTATATCAGCTGCAACCTCCAGCTCGGGAGGAGCCACCGAGCGCCCAGCATGGGGAAACGGCCCCGCTCCCCCCGGCCCTGAGCGGCTGCTTTTTTTAGAGGAGAGACACCAGCCACCCTGGGGGCATGGGCGGCATGGGGTGGAGGGTTGGGGAAGGGGGGTTGTTATTCTGCTTTCTGTTTTCCTGAAATGCACCCTGTGTCTGTGGTGCTAACGCAGGGGCTTGGCAGGGGAATTATTTTCCCTCTGGCCAGAGCGTGGCCTGCCAAACAAGAGGCAGTCAGGTTAATAACACTTTTTTTTTTTAAACTATTCAAATGTCAGCATTAGAATACACAGGAAATTGAATTTTGTATTTGATTTCAATTAGCAAAGCATAAATTATATTTAATTTTATACACAGACTGGGTGATTCATTGTTCTGGAAAAGCTGGTACTTTATGGCTCAGCGACTGGAAATGGAGTATTAGTCTTTCCTGAAACCAAACTGCTGTGCTGTTGCCTCCTCCAAGCGCGTCTCTGTCGGTGTCACTCTGTACCTGAACAATATGAAAAATCCTGAACTGAGCACTTGAACCCACAGCACTAAATAAAACACTGTAGCAGCCA